TTTTTCTTTTCGATTGTTGCATTGAGATTAAATATTTTTTCTCTTGAAGTTCTATGAAGTTATTAATAGAGCACCACATTTTTTTGCACAAGGAAGTATTTTGACACATATTTAATCGATATTAGTAATCACCTAGATTGATTGTTATATGCGAGTTACAAGGTCTTAACATATTTATCTGATTCATTAATGATATTAGTATAAATCGAGACACCAGCCACACTGCTTCAGAATTTTCCATTCAGTATTAATCAATTTTTATTTATATATTCGTATGGCTTACATGATTGATAAATTATAAGTCTATAAAAAAATACAAGAAGAAATTTAAGGTGTAAGTGATCAAAGTGATCTCAATATTAACGATAATAATCATAATAATGTCTTTAGTCCCACAAAAGAAAATACAAAACAAGTTGTAAAACTGTACAAGGCTATGAAGCAGCCTGCGTTGCTTCATGTTCAGCCAGCCAGCATCAGTAAGCTTTGATGAAACAGAATCGTATTTTCTTAAACCAAAAATAAGTCTCAGACAAGAATTTTGCACGCGTTGTATTTCATCAGATGTGACTAAAACATTTGTCATAGATGACATCACAGAAGTTAAAATGCGACAGAACAAGAGAATTGCATAGTATGACTTTAGTTTTTTGGTTCATGTAAGATTTTTGACCGTATATCGTCTTTAAATTACAATACGCTGTTCTGGAACACTTGTTAACGTGATCCTCAAACCTTAAGTTTTTGTCAAGGTATAAGCCTAAATTACGCGCTATCGAGCTTATTTCTAAAGTATTGTTATCGAGGTTTATTTTCAACAGAGGTTCACAATGGCCTCTCCAATTTTTCGGCCCGAATAACATGACTGGACTTTTAGCCGGATTCAAGTCTAAGCATATGTTTCGAGACGCTATAGTGAGACGGTCAAGGTCTTTATTTATCAGACCAACAGCAGGCAATGTTTGAGCTGGAGGAAATGATAAGTACACTTGTGTATCATCTGCATAAAAATGAGCGTTACAAGAGTGAAGACTGAAGTATAGATTGGAGGTGTAAATAATGAACATTCGCGGACCCAGAATAGAGCCCTGAGGAACACCAATGGTCACTTTCAATGGCGTGGGGTACTTATCATTCAGCATTACCTGCTGTTGACGATCGCTGAAGTAGCTACGCATTAGAGACTCTGCATCGGCCGAGAATCCGTAAAAGTGGAGCATGGCTAAGAGTAGGTTATTATGTATACTGTCAAATGCCTTCGTATAATCTAAGAGCACCAAGGCAGTCAGGTTACCTTTGTCAGCACTGCATAATACATCATCCACCACTCCCAGCAATGCTGTTGCACAGCTATGCGCCGGACGGAACCCTGATTGTGTATCTATAATGAGGTTATTCGTTCTTAAGTATTCTCTTATCTGAACATCCATTATTGATTCAAGCAATTTAGACAATGTTGGCAATATACTAATATTACGCAAATCCTTGAGCTCAGATGCCTGAGCAACTTTAGGCAAAGGCACAATCAAAGCGTGCTTCCAGCAAAAAGGAAAATAGCAACGTAATATGCATTCATTAATGATATGTGTAATGAAAGGAATAATTTTGGGGCAGCAATACAACAGCATTTCGATATTTATCAAATCAGCACCAAATGCTTTGGTTTTGAAGCCAAACAAAGTATCTTTCACCTGATCTGTTCACGCCAAAGCGAATTCAAAGAGGGATACATTAGGTTTGACATTATTCTTATAAAAAGAAAGTGTATCAGCATCAGGTTCTATACCTGCACTAGATAAAGACGTAAAGTACCGGTTCATTTCGTCAACATCAACTAAATCTTCTGGGATAGATGACCTGGCTGTCTTATTGCCAAAGTTCATAGCTTCCAAATCTTTCCATAGAGTCTTATAGTTCGTATTGCTAATTTTATGTTCCAAATGAATCTTTTTAGCATTATCAGTTGCTAATTTTGCTATATTATACTATATTGGAATTTGTGTCCCTTCATTCAGCAAAACAGCTCCATGTTGGCTTTTAGGGAAGGTGGACGAACACTTTCTATTGCAATGCATTTGTCTCTGGTGCTTGTCTTCTGGAATGAAGCATAGGTCTAGGTGGCAATCTCGTACCCATCTACAAGTAGTCTTGCTAATACTTGATCATTTTTGTGTTATAAATACGAGTAGATTATAAATTCACAACGGAAATACTTTATTTGCCACAAGTTTCAGACAAAACAATATATATTGAACAAAATAATATGTTCATCATGTAACAAATAATAGAACGATAAAGCTGTAAACTCGAGTTGAAAAAACATATCTTCATCAGCTGATACGAAAAATACAGCTCATCAGTTGTTGAAATAAATATCACTGATGGTCTGTAGTAGAACAAAAATATAATTTGCCATCATGTTTCAAGCAGAACAATAAAATATCCATCAAGGCAAGGATGCACGTTTAAAGTAATTTTATTTTCAACTGAAGAAAAGTCGTTTATGAAAATATCAAGCTACTTGACTTTAATCCCTAGTCAGCTGTGTAGGCTATTCAGATAAAATCACGTTGCCTAAACTGTGCCTCGGGGGGCTAGTCTGCTTTTGCATAAACGGAGAAATGATTGCGAACAACGGAAGTTTTTTATGATGGTGACATTTCCAAAGAAGATTGCTAGTGATGAAAAAGCAATCTATCAGGACTGAAGTATTAAACTTTTTATCTTAATTCCTCACATAAGAAAATAATTAGATTACTGATCCACATGTCAATGAGGTTTATCTATGTTGGTATTTGATTGTTATAAAACGATAAGGATATGAGTTTTCTTCAGCATATACGCAAAAAATGTAATCAAGCAAAACAAATGATTTTTTACACTAGGAAGTATAAACTTGTTCAATAGTACTTATTGTTATACGACGCACTTATAAACGATTCGACATAGAATATTTGAGCTAGCAATTAGAAGTATAGATTGATTGATTCGATATATTCACTGTAGGCCATTTCTTAATCATTTTCAATATGCGCATTTATTCCAGCTTTGGCATAATGCAGTTGTATAAATTAAGTGTATAACTAACTAGATCCAATGAAAGGAGCTGGAAATACAATTGGGTACTATTAGAAGGTTGGTCTTATATTTCAGATGGTTCTACATTTGTTGACTTTTATGTGAGTGCCTAGTTCGTTGGTTTTGGACATTAGCTTTCCTCACGCTTGTTTATCATCTCTTTCCAATCTCACCTAGTAAATATAAGTATCGGGATGTTCATATTTAGTATAGACTTTATTGCAAACTGTTGCAAACGTTAATAATGAGAAGAGTAATTCCTTCAAATGATTAATTACTTAACCGTAATTTCATACTGTAATCTTCTTTTTATCAAAATTAATCTCCTGAATGCTTAAGTATATTGTAAGTTTAAAATGTATGAATCATATCATATTGCTATTTCACCGCCGATTTTTTGAATATTTAAAATCATCCCACCGCCCCTTTACACTGCACCTGAACAGTGAATTTTGATGCACTATGAAAAGCCTTCATTTATTAGCAATAATTGAAGGAAGAGATTAATCTATTAACGTACCATTTTCATTGCACTTTTGACAATGTAATTTAATTTATTTTTATTACCTTTTTGAGTCACAAGATAGATCTGTTTCATTATCATAAAAAATATTTTATTTTTCAAAAAACTGCCTTAGAAACATAAATCTGAGATAATTTGATTTTGATTTTATTGTACTTTTATGGCTTAAAAACTGATCTCTAACACTATTTTTCGTAAATAAAAAATTGATGCCGAACATTTTTTCCTTGACACGACCCATACTCTCGTGCAGTAACCATTTTCATACGTTTTTACCAAATTATTTGTTCACCTAAAATTTTCTGCGGAACTTAATTCGATTTTCGTCAGATTGTTTGAATTAAAAGCTATTTTAGGATATAGAATGCAAGAACACAAGGTATGCGGTGAATAAAATAATAATAATAATGATAATACTTTTATTTCATTGTTCAATGCCACAGACTATGACAAGTCAAAAGGAAATGCTAGAACAAAATACATACACTTGGAAAAACAATACAATACAGATTAAAAAACAGTTTTACATGCAAAGAACTTTTCAAGCTATAAAAACACTTATCTGTTAGAAATGATTTCAACTGAACTTGAAATTGCCTTACGTCGGTGCTTTTTGAGTAGCTTTCTTTAAATTATTGAATATTTTACAACCCATATAATTCAAAGATTTCAGATGTGCTGCAGGACGATGTTGAGGGGTATCAGCAGATCTTTAGATCGAGTTTGATATTGTGTTCTTCTTTGTTATTGAAAAGGTTTAATTTATTTTATTGCACAAATATTGATAAGTCATAAATTTAAATATAAGCCAGTAATTCTGAAGGACCAGTGGATTTGCAGTGATTCTAATAACGATGAGTTGCAACCCCAGACTAAAATGAAATAGCGCAAGTGACAGTTAAAGCTTGAATAGCACAAAGTAAAAATTGCTTACTACAGTGATCTGATAGCAATTTTATACCATAATCACTTTTACGTAATTTATGATACAGCGATTCTGCATGTAGCTCCCAAATTATATGAGAATCAATGGCACCTAATACCCAAAACTGGTCAATAAGATGTTACTATCATACGCATATGATATAATTTTACAACTTGATTCACATATTGCAAAAAATAAAAGGCCCCAGCGGAACACCTGCCTCGAAAACCGTCTCATAGCTACTTGCATCATTAACACGGACATATTGCTTTCTTCCTTGAAGGTATGATTGAAAAAGTTGTAATGAATAGGAAAGAAATATATTCACTATGAAACAACTGAGAATTATATACATTCGGGACCAAGCACCAGATAATCAATTATAATCATGTAAGAAATGAACAAAAATAAACAACACTCTTACACGATTATGGAGATACAATAAATATCTGACCATACTATTATTGATTATAGGGAGATGCGTCTCGAAGTCCCCATCTACTTGGCTCTGGTAGCTGTGACAGTTGTTTCTGCTCAAATTAACTACCAGAACCCCCAGTTTGGCAACCGAGGGGAAGAAGAATGTTGTCAAGAATATTGCTATTTCACCGATGTGGAACCCTACATACAGTTTGCTACCAAAACTGCATATGAGTCGCTGAACAGAAAATCTACTGGTGCTCAACACATCGTTCCAGGTACGTAAGATGAGGTTCTCGATTATCGCTATACGAGCCGTTTCCAAAATACAGTGCAAAAATGTTAATTTATTCCCTAGGCTAGAAGATTCTATAACCATATATTTTTTAGCAAAAATTATGTTTACACTCCATTTAATAGCGTCCATCGGATATTAAAGTTTTGCAATTATCCCATGGAAGTACTCTAACTCATAGAAATCACTTGAAACACCGCTTATTTGATGAAATAAAAATAATAATAAGGATTATTGAAGTATATACATAACAAATTCAAAATGTATAATATCCTAAGAGGCTGGGGGTTGGCGATGTCATTTTTCACATTAGCCTACTAAATTACAAATGTGAAAAGCATAATAGGAACATTTAAGTGTTTGTGGCTTCATTGAAATGCAATTGTTATAGCTTTTTTTAAGGTGACTTTTAAAATTATATTGGAAATGCTTCGAAAAATTTGGAATAATCGTTCAGAATAGATGGTGCCGTGTAAAGGAAATATTTTTTAATTTTATATGTTGTATGGGCCGGCGTGTTGTAACAGTTATCATTGCGTAGTAATGCTTGTTGGTTATGTGATTCACAAAAGGAGATTTATATTTTAAGAATTTATAAAGCACAAAAAAGCAATGAGCGATATTGAAATTTTAATATCTAGTAATGTCTGTGTATACCGCTGTGACAAAACCTCGTACAACAGTTTTGAAGAATTTGGATTTTCTGCTTCATTTCCTCTGTTAGAAAATTATAATAAACTGTAATTCCATAATCTAGATGTATAAGAATTAGTGGATTAATAAGTCTTGCTTCAATATCACTTGTCAATAAATTCTTGTATCTTCAGGGAGGTTTATATTTAAAATAACATACTCTGAGTTTACTTTCCTAAATTTTTAATTACATCCACATTTTTTTTTAATTATTAATTATTAATCTAGAACCAATGCAACAAACTTGAAGGGGTTATGTTTTAAGTAATAATTTTTTGAATAATTTGCGATATCCTTAAATTCACATTGAGTTCCATTATCCGGGAATTTATGTTATTTGGTTAACATGCTTTGTAAGTTTAGCGAGTACCTGTAAGTAGATTTTTAGTGTGCCCAAAAATGGAAAGCAATGTAAGATATGTTCTAAAAGCATTTGGTCAGCAAATAATTTTAAAAATACATTAATTAACCAATAAACCTTGACTGTATTTGAAAGCCTTCAGTAGTTTTTCCGCCTTGTGCACATACAGACTATCTTTATTGGTTAATAATTCTATTTTTCCTTGATATTACAGAAATAAAATATAGTGTATTACTTTTGATAATCCTCACAATACTGGTCCTTCTGATTTTATTGTCTTTGCGGTGCTTATATGGTTGACGATCAAAGCTTTCAAACGTGAATAGCGAAAAAACAGATTTGATAGATGACAAATTTTTCCAACAGCCTAACTTCCTTTCAGGATTGCCCCACTCCCATCAAATCGATGGGGTGTCTGGGTTGCTAAAATGAAGTCTTAAGGAAATAAGTAGCATTGCCGTAAGGGACGGCTTTGTACCTATTTTTTTTTTGACATGAACTGTACTGGTAAAATTGAGATTTTCCTGCAAAACGCGAATTTCGGAAAATGCCCGTCATTTTCTTTTTTGCGCCTTGGATGTAGTATCAAACGTTCATTGCGAGGATATGACACCATATAATCAATTTATAGTCCTTACTATATAATGGAACAAGTCCGTTATTATACCTGCAGATTTTTGAAGATTGGTATGTTGTAGATTGTTTCTTCAACAGCTTTCCTTGCTATCTCATTCCTTTCCAGCAGACGCCGCCACATTGGAAAATTGTGGAGAGAAAACAATTTTTGACCATTCTATGATTAAAATCACCCTGTAAACCATTTGACAAACTATAGAAAATTTCCTATAATTTATGGAAACCTTTTGGGCTGCAAACAGAAATTCTTTCTATATTATTTATTAATAGATTGTTTATTTTCATACAATAACGTTATTCCTAGTAATAGGTTAACCCGAGTACCGTGCTTCATCTTCAGTGATACTTCTCCTGGACCTAAAAACAACGAGGTAGAAGTGTTTCTGAAATAGCATGTCACAACTTAGCAAATACCAGTTTTGAAAACTCCCGCAAAACTTTCCACCCACCCAAGATTAGACTAGTGACTAATAATTAATCATAGCATAGATGGTTGTTGAATATTTAGAATAACTTGTGCGCGAGAAATAAAAATACCACTAAATTCCGATGATATGTTCACCGGAAATGTCATTAATTAATTCATCAATATGTATAAGCAGAAAATATGATTCAAAAAATGAATCAATGCTTAGTCGCTGCTGAAAAGATAATTACTGTCAACCACTCACACGATATGAACTATAATCATGTGTATGAGTCATACGCGATGATAAAGATATAATTGAATGAGTGCTGTTATACGTCAGGTACCTCACTTTTGTGGGTTTAGGTCATGTCTATTAAAAAATAATTTCAAGAGGATGTTAGGTTAAAGTTGATCGAGGAATGTTAAGTGCAGGGTCAAATACCTGACGTTACATTATGCATATTTGAGCGAGTAGAAAAAACATATTCTTACTTTTTCATAAATTGGAAATAAGATCAAAGCATCTGATGCACTGAATCGGAAGGCAAAGTCGAATTAATTCCAAGTACCACGGGAACATTTCAAAGTTCCTGCAAGAACCAAATAGCTTTGTTCCAGCACAGGCACAGAACCCGTTCAAAACTAAACGCGCTTGCAAATTTCAAGTTCCCCTTTATTTTGTTCGTTGTTCCTGCACCTTTGGTGTATGCTTAGAGCTAAGTCGTTCATTTGAAAATTATTCTAAATCAAGGTTTATACTACAGACAAGTTTAGCCATGGGGCGTAGGGTTAACGGCTGAAGGGAACATTCTAGATGTCTTGTTTTCTTGTTTGTGTTTATTCCTGTTCAGTCTGCGTCATTGTTCTGCGGTTTACACGAGACCAGAAAATTTTAATCTTTTACCGGGAATAATTGCATATTTTTTGTGCATTTGTATTGTACTGCTGTTTTTTTATTTCATTGTAACTTATCCTCAAGAAACTTTGAGTCTTCCATGATTTCTTAAAACCAAACGAAATTCGCAACACAAGATCGTGTGCCCAAATTAACGGCCCTAGAGGCTTTGGAACTAGTCTAGGTCTAGTTCTGGATGTTCCAAGAAAGAAATATGTGTAATATTACTAATATACTCAAGTGTGACGATCAAGTGTATTGAACAAATTAGACGCAGAGGTGCAAAGCATAGGGACTCCAATGTTTTTCAAAAGTCCATACCCACTATGCCTTCAGGACTAGACCTATATCGCACCGATGAGTTGCTAACGAGCGAGAAACAGCGTTGTCTGTGTTTGGTCAAGGCTAAAAACTACATAAAAATATTTATATAATGCTTCTAAAAATGACATCTAACCTTGATACAGGTTCATCGAGGAAAGACCAACGCAAGAGACAGGATAGATCCGATTTTACGACAAGGTACAAGAGAAAAAAAATGGCGTCAAGTTGACACTGTACTTCCCACGTAACAAAAAATGCTCTCATGCCATATAACCCCCAACCCCTAACCCATAAATTTTTTTTCTGTAAATGACCAAGAGCCTCTGAATCATCAAAAAACGAAGCTTGATCGATTCTTATTTTTTCGTTTTTGCCCTGCAGGTCGCCAAAACTGGACCAATTTCCAAAAACTACAAAGCCTATTCGCCCCTATCACTATTTTTTCGTGATATACATGTCATATAACATCTAAAAAAGTAAAAATGAAAATGCTATGTAATGGCAAAATTTGATCTTGGCAACACAACAATAATTATAATTCGATTTTCCTTTTTAATATCTTCTTTTCGTTGTTGTTATTTATACTGTTTTTTACAGACTGTACGCCTATGCAGTTTTGGAGTCTGAACAGGCATGGTACAAGACTTCCAAAAGCCACCAGAATCAGAGAGCTGAGAAATTTGGAGAAAATTCAATCAGAGATTGTAGCAAACTATGAGCAGAGAAGTTCATACCCCAACAGAGGAAGATTCTGTATCGAAGATTACAATATATTGAAAAGGTAACAGCACAAGAAAATGAGTTCTCAAAATCTGAATTAAAGATAATAAGCGTAAAATTTGCATGGATCTTTGTTTTGAAGTTCTGTATTTCGACTCAAAATAAGTCTGATACAGTCTCGTATCGGTGCTACTCAAGGTTAAAGCCTCAGAAATTGTGTTTTTTCTGAAGTATCCAGTTTTCCTTCGTATAAATTTCATTAGAACTTTGGAAAAGTTGCAGAGAACAAAATTCTTTATAATTATGTTCTATGACATTTTATAGTAGTGTCATATTGGTGAACTTATCGTGAACAATCTCGACGGCAGCTTGATAAATGTATCTTTTAGGTTTCGAACGCACGCTTGTTCATAATCTCATTGGACGAGCTTCCTTTCAGTTTTTCCCCATAAAAAATATTGTCGGATTCACCCAGAGGCTTAGCTTGATTTTGGGTTTTCTTTTTTTAAGGTGGCGATGGAACGATACTATTACAGAAGACAAGGGCTTTTCACTTACTCAACAAGGCATCGAAGAACTAAAGATTTTAGCTAGAAGATACAAGTCAAAATTCTCGCAGCTGTTGTCTGGTGGATATGATGAAAGATCATTCTTTGTAAGTATTTAAATACCGCGGATAAATATATGTGCAATTATTGTCACTAAGAATTTATGTTTACACTCTCGTGATGTGATGATGTAATTTCCTACGCTTTACCTTCAACCTGCTCTGCAGTCTTGAGATCGAAAGCCTTGTTACATTTACTAATGTCCATGTTTATGGTCAAGAAATGATACAGGAAACTCATAATCTAAGCATTTATGTTAACGTAAAAAAACTATGACAGTGATGTTTAGGATGTTAGACAAAATTAAATTAATTATTTTGATCTCATTGCCATCGAATAGTCGAACTGATCTCCTTTGACTTGGATCAAATAAAGAGAGATGGTGAAGTATATATTTCATAGTTCTAAACATAGAACCCAGCTCATTTTATGTAACTTTCTGTTATATGTATATAGTTACGTGACAAATCGTGAGTTCAGTAATTTGAGCTATAAAATGCCGGATCCAAGCTTAGTAATGAATCACAGCTGGCTCAGAACTGAGTATTAAGGCTCGTGTCTACTAGGAAACAAAATTGCTAGAGAATATTGCTGAAACTTGCTTGCTAGTCAAGTATTTGTACATTTGCGAGACCCTGCAATATCCAAGCAAATTTATTTGTTCTTTGAGCTCCCGAACCCCCCAGAAATATTCATTGTAAGTTGCGAACAGTGCCGTTATTTGAGCTATAATATCTAAATATATGCAATAGATATTATGAAAACTTCAAAATGGACGGAAAAATTCAGGCAAGTAATTTAGACCGACATTATGCCATGAATTGACATAAAACTATGTATAATATAAAATTCTAAGAGCCATTTGTGACAAGTGAAATATGATGCATATTTTTTTTGGTCGCTCGGGGTCACACGCACATGAGCAGTATTAGAAAATATTTAATTAATATTTTTTAAATAATGGAGTTTTAATATTTTTCATTGACTGAAAAGTAAAAATTTAATGAATATTTCGTGCTATCGGGGTTGGAGCTGAAATCGACCCGAACGTGTATCACGTATCTTGAAAAGTGACATTATGCCGATTTTTTTGACATTATGCTGGTTTTTTCGACATTATGTAGGTTTTTCTACAAGATGTAAAATCTGCTTCTGAGATAGCATTACTGGAGGTCTAAGCTGTAAGTTGTATAGTGTTGTCTTATCCATTCTGGAAATTACATATACAAATATGCTGAATTTAAAAAATGAGAGAGATAAGAAATAGTTATATTCACTGTACACTATCGAATTACAAGCCATATACATGCTAACAGTAATTACACACAACGCGGGCGCGGTGATGATTTCCCGTAATTCTCCTCAGTTCTTCGTAATTTATAACTTTGAACATAACCTCTCTTCAGAAAGCACAACATATAAATAACCCGTCATATTCTGTATATTCAGTAATGATTTTTTCGCACAGCAAATATCACTGATTTTACAGGTATACACATGCAGACCAATACACATAATCATCCAGATGCGATCTTGCTATTCAACCAACTTCCTTCTTAGAAATAAAAACTACAGACAAGCACCATTTGGCCTCACAAAACTATGCAACCAATAATGCGTGTAGTTTAGTTGAGTGATTCCCCCATAGATGGACGTTCACAACGATCCTAGTGAGCAAACGTGGAATGACTGTTTGCGCCCTAAAAACTACATAGTCTGCAAGTTGACATCTTATAGGTTTTTTTAGAAAACTAGGTTTTTTACATGATACCCGTACCGGCCTTTGCGGGACACCTATGTTTTTTATACAAAAGATGATTTGAATATGATTCTTTTAATAATTAGCATCTTTCATGATGTTTTTAATAATCGTCCTTTTAGTTCCAGTACACGAGTGCAGATAGAACCCATGACAGTTACCAAGCTTACATCGAAGGTCTGTTTGGCAGCGATGCTTTCAGGGTCCATGCCAACACCCAAATTGACAACAGGCTGATGAAACCTTACGAAGACTGCGAAGCCTGGCAGAAGAATGAGGCTGACAACCAGTTCACCAGGACAGAATATGAACGGTTCAAAGAGAGTCCTGAATACCAACAGATGGTCAGAGATGTGTTCAGAAGACTCGGGTTCAAATACACGTTGAATGCTTCTATCGTCGAGGATATCTATGACATGTGTCGATATGAGAAGGCTTGGTAAGTATCTACCAATTAAAATTCATACATAAAACCTACAAAGTTTAACACTAGGCAATAAGTTGAGACGCTATGACTCCCAATATTCAAGTTATCTTTTTTGTTTCACGTTCGTGTTATTTTTCTTGCTTACTTGTTTTAGGTACTTGAATCGCCACTCTCCGTGGTGTGTAGCATTCAACAAGGACCAGCTGAAGCTTTTGGAGTATGCTGAAGATCTGAAATACTATTATGAAAGTGGTTATGGAAACAGAATCAGCGAGAGAATCGGCTGTGGACCTGTTAAGGATTTCTATGACCGATTCGAAAGAACTGTTAATGGTAAAAAAACTTTAAACTTACTTTAGTTTATTAAGAGCTGTTTGGGTCTGTTTAGATGCTTTGAGGCCTTTGAGGCATGACGAACTATTATATTATTACAGGAAATAGTGATGGTGTTAGAGCTACGTTCTTCTTTGCCAACTCTGATACCATACAAACGGTGCTGACAGCTCTTGGTGTCGCCAAAGACTACAACCCTCCAAAGGCTGACAATTACCATACACAAACTTCGAGAAACTGGAAGACTTCGCTCATCGACCCGTTTGCAGCGAATTTGGTATCCGTTTTGTACCAGTAAGTATCGGTTTATATCTTATACTCGATCTTTACAGTGCCGTTTACTACAGCGGAGGGTAGTAAATTTTTTCGGGGGAAAGTAGCAAATATTAAAGATCCCAAAAATTGTTACAAAATCATGTTAAATGTGTGAGAGTTTTGAGATTTAACCTGAATATTTTTACAGGTGTAGAGGCCCAGAGAAATTCAAGGTGATGTTTTTCTTGAACGAAAACCCAGTGGACTTTCCAGAATGCTCTGTTGGTTTGTGCAATTGGTCAACCATTCAACAAAAATATGAGGATCTCGTGAGGACATGTGACGTTGAAGAGTTCTGCTCTGGAAGGTCTTCAAGCGCCAGAGTGCTCGTTAGCAGCTTTCTTTTGACAATATCGGTTATGTTTTTAAGATGGTAGATTGATGAATGTTGTATTGATCTGTAGTACAAAATGGAATTGTAATCTGTAATGCAGGCTGTAATAAGATATAGTTTTCAGTATCAACCAAAGGTAAATTTGTAAAACTCACTGGTATTGCCATTTTAATGATCACAATATACATTTCTTTTTGGCAGACTGTTGTAGAAGAATCTACAGCTAAAAGCAATTTCGTTTCAAGAATGCCTTGTACCTGCTTCAGAATAATGTTTCATTACTTTAACAGTGTATACAAAATACAAACCATGTTAGGTTCAGCTCACTCCATTGTTTTTTATTACTGTAGTTATTATATTTTTTATTTGTATTCTGTGAAAATTTTGTATTAAAAAATCCTTTGATCTTGTAGCTTAGATTATTAGAGTAGGCCAGTCACAGTCACAATAACTGTTTATCAATTACTGTTCAGTCGTTTTTCAAACATAGGTATATGTTGAGTCTTCAGATATTTATAGAAAGCTTTTAAAATAATGCCATAAAATTGCACAGAAATGCAAAATAGGCTAATGATTATAGTATGTATATAATATCTATAACTAAGTACCTTTTAATGTACAATTTTAAACCACTTACAATAGGTTGTTCATGTGTAAAAATAAAGTTGTTTTTTAAAGTATTTTGGTGACTAATTTTCACAAGACATCCCAAAAAATCTATAACATTGTCCACAAAAACGGCTTACGTCGTTTGACAGGGGTTGAGTTTGCCCTATTCAAATGCAGAATTGCACACTTGATGTCTTTTTTCAAAGGAGCTTTAGCTGCATTATTTTTTTTAACCAAATTTTACCGACCTTCAAATAATCCGAGGCACTATATAGATTCATTAACTCATCATCTTTCTTGATTAAGTTGGGTTTGTTAGATAATAACTGAGAACTTCTTCTGAATACCTCGTATGTGGATTGAGAACTTATTCTAATGCCCTGGTAATCAGTCTCTAAAGTCGAATTGCCATCTATTAGCCGTTAAAACGATTTCCCTCACAGATTTCTTCAGTCCACAGCGCCATCTCTGAGGCACGGTAAAAGATAAACGCTGTACTGTTTAGCATGAATCTTTTCCACTAGATGACAATAGTAGCACAACTTGCATTGCCATCTGGCGGCCAAATGGCTAAGTGTTCAAACCTCTGACGTAGTTTTTGCTTTTGTCGACTTCTGTTCTGAACTTCATTTATCAGTTGATTCGAAAGGTGTCACGACCCACACGAATAGTACACTAGTCTTCGCTTTATTTATACGGGAGTCGAACGAAAAGTTTCTGATTGACTGACTCTTTAGTGCAACAAAAGTAGCGAATCGTTATTTTTGACAGCGCCAGCAAATCAGAATGGTGGGGAAAACAACCGCAGTAATTTGCCAGTACTGACTAACCACACTATCCTTTCTCATGGGAAAGTTTCGTTAATATTTGTATCCAAACCGGACAAAAAATAAATATATCTGGAATCACAGAACAACAGAAGTAGGAGTGATCAGAAAGCAGCAGAAGTACAATAAAAAGCTACGTTGCCACATTGCATGTATAACAAAACTCAGTACAATTAAATTCATTTAGAACTCCTATTTCTCTTTATCTGTGATCTAAAGCTCATATTTCTATTATATTTTAACCAACATATTCTCATAATTTGAAATTATTTTAATTAAGCTTACCCAGCTACACGAATTCCGGCAACATCACTGAATAAGCCAAAAATAAACTTATGAAATAAGTCCGCCCTATCTCCGTAGCTTTGATATTGAGAACTGCTTTTGGAGGCTTTTTGTTGGATATGAGCAAACTTGCAAGCCCATGGAAGAATTCCGAAGTTTAAGACATCTGGTGAAAAATATATGAATGGTTTTTTAAATCCAATAGTTTTTTAAATCCAATAGCAGGTATCAGTCGGGATCAGAACATGGGCGCCTGCAATAATTTTTCTATTGGGATGCCAAGAGATAACATTTTGTCAATGTGTAACTGCTTTTATGAAGAGCGGTGGGTTGCAAATTTAATCAGGGGGTGGGAAACCTCCAAATTCCCAAAAACTGTATACAAAACCATGCTTAATCATTATTATACAACCTTTAAGATCCAATCGTATTTTAAGGGGGTCCCGGTCCCTTTGGCACCCCCTGCGGGCGCTCATGGACCAGAAACTATGTTTATGCCAAGCGAATCAAGCGTTCATCTGCAACCGTTTCTTGGAAACCCGCTTCCCTCATAGTTTAGTCATGGTTGTGAAGGGTCACTACCATATCTCTTGGGCATGTGGGCCACAAAGAACTTGGTAAGTACGAGTATTTGTGCCTTGACTATGAAGTCCGTTGGTGGTATAGATCGGTGGAAGGCAAATCATTGAGCAACTTTTTTGGTAATTGCCCCGAAAGATCTTGGGGAGCACTACACCAATTTGACATCACCCCGTAGGCGAAGACCGATTGCCCAGCAGGTGGAAGAGATTTTTTTGGCCCCGGGTGCAAGTGATCGTACCGTTCGCGGCATCCACAGGTACTACTCACTAATTTTCGGGGAGGCGAAAATAACAAACCGTTTGATCGCCGCTGAGACGGTACGTCCATATCAGGCGCTCCCATCTACCCTCAGATCGCTTATCGACAATAAAAAAATTATACACTCACCCGTTTAGAGTCAACACTTGGAGTTTTCGGTTATTTATTGCCCTTTCAAAAAGTTTTTTTAATATACAAATACATTTTTGGTGTTCCTACGAGTTATAACTCTATAATCATGAAAGAAAGGGATCTATTCACAAAGTTTGTACAGCTACGGTTTAGAAAAATCGCAGCCTAAAGATCTGTTTCTGTACTATGCGTTCGAGTACTATGCTTCAAATTTGTGCGATCTCCTAAAGCGATCGGGAACATGGAGATGCCGAAATTGGTATACTCCAAAATAAAAAACCTTACAAATTCGGTAGTCTTTGGTACTATTTTGTTTTTTGTCAATTACTCGCTTTAAAAATATGACAGCGTCAGATACGTAGACTCCGGATACCAAACGGATATCTGCGACTGAGCTGGGGAGAAGAAGACTGTCAGTGACTTCCCCGGAGAAATATTGGGAAGTTATTGCAACAGTTGGACACTGTAATTTGGATGGTCATGTAGGATATATTACATCTCAATGGGAAGAGATTCAAGAAGATCCAAGGTTTCGAGGCAACTCAATCAACTAGATTCGGGATCAGTTGCAATCCAAGCATACCTCCTATCCCAATGGGAGGAGATCCAAGATAAATCTAGAAAATCCAAAATTCCGGCGATTTTAAGGATGTCCAAGAAAATCCAGGGAGATTAAAGTCTATCTAAAGAGATCTTCAAGCCTAGTGGAAGACCAGTAGTAGTTTAAATTTCCTATTCTAATGGGAGGAGATCCTATGGAACCTTAAGACATCTGAGTCAGTCCGAGGAGATCCGACGCAACATAAGGATATTCAATCCCAGTGAAAGGAGACCAGTGGCGATCCAAGAAAATTTCCTATTCATCCAAAGTAATCTTAGGAGAACTGAGTCAATTAAAGGAGATTAGACACAATATGAAGAAATTCAAGGCTATCCAAAGATATCTGCAATCTCAATTAAGGTAGACCTAAACAATTTTCTATCTTAATGGGAGAAGATCCAAGGCAATCCCAAGAGTCCAGACAATCCAAGAAGTCCGAGGTAATTCAAGGAGATCTAAGTCTATCCAAAGGAATCTTCAAGATCAGTTGCAATCCAAACATACTTCCTATCAAAATGGAAGCAGATCCAAGATAATTCTAGATCCAAAGTTTCGGTGCAATTCCAAGATATCCAAAGTAATCCAAGTCTATCCTAAGAGGCCTTAAATTTCAGTGGTATGAAACCAATGACAACGCAAGCAAATTTCCTATGCCAATGGGATGATATGCAAGACAATCCTAAGATAGTCCAGGCAATCCAAGAACATCCGAGGCTGTCCAAAGAGATCCTCAATTCTAGGCAGTGCAATCCTTTAAAATTCATGAAAATTCAGGAAGGTCCGACGTGATCCAAACATTTCCAAGAATATCCAAGAATTCTCAGACAGATCCAAGTATTTCGAAGAATATCCAAGAATTGTCAGAAAGATCCAAGAAACACCAAGAATCCTCAAGGATTTCCAGAGAAATTTGGTTGGAGGACTGGCTTCCCAGGCTTATTGCTTGTAAGGTACAGTACTGCACCTTTACTGACAATAAGCATTAAAACGCAGATCCCGTTTTGATGAATGTCTGATCCATGTGATGAAGTGCCTGGGGGACTTTAAACTATGAGGACCTAATTTGGTATGAGCAGCATCATGAAAGAAGCTGCAATATCTGTTTTGGATTGTAGAACCAGAATATATCTTCAGGCAAAAATCCTTCACCTTTCTGGTCCTCTTTCAATGTATACTTTCCCTTGTATCTAAATTGAACTACCCATTGGACTCTTGGATTTTTCAGCCAAGAGATCATCTTTCTTCTTGATCCCCTTTTTACGTACGTATCTTATGTTGTAGGATACACACAAGGAGATATTTTGTATCTGAACATGATGTGCGGAAGATTTCATATTTCAAAGACCTCCAGTTTATCGTCTTAGCAGTCATTGTCCAAGCGCCTACTCCCTACTCTCCGCAGTACAACAGGAAATCTAACTAAAATCGAGCTGAATTTCGGGGGAAATAGTAAGTGGACAAATTATTTGGTAAAAACGTGTAACGAGGGTTACTGAACGAGCTTTTGGACTTCAAAAAGGCTCAAGCTCTTAGCGATAAAATAAATTGAAAAATATATAAAACGATTTTTGGTCGCAAATATAAAATTGAAGCGGAACATATTTTTCCTGACAATTCGTTTTTATATACCTTATATATTTTCCTCACCATATTCTTTTCTTAGACTACATACAGAAAACAAACTTTTATCAAACCAATCTTGAAGTTTATTAGTTTTGCAGCTCAGCTTTGTTATTTTATTGTTCTAGCCCGTGGTTTAGCAGCTTACCCATTTTACCCTGTACAAATCGAACAATCAAACCTAATGCATATTAGATGGCTAATTGAACATTTCAGCATCGGAAATAGCGTAGAGCGCGCGGCACTTAGAAACACCTCACATGTAATTAGGCGTCTCATAAAATAAACAGGCACAAGCGGACGAGCAGGCAGGTAAACGTTTGCATATTGCCAGGTTATGCCAGAAGACAATCGATACAAGCAACCAATCGAATGCCTGCTCCCTGTTTACTTATTCACGGTTTTTGCAATAGTGCTATGGTGAAATCTATGCAGCAGGTGAACCGCACGAGTCTCATAGTCAGGTGGTAGACAGTGGTGTTCCTAAGGCATACTTACATACGCACAAGATGAAATCGTACTAAAGAACAAAAGGAACTTCCTCCGGTTTATCCAAAAAAGGTGTCTAGTAGACAGTATACTTTCCACGTCTTTGAAAAAGCTTCTACAATATTCTATGTAGTGGGAGTTTCAAGCTCAAAAGTATTGCTTTAGTTTATCTGAAAGATTAAAAGATTTTGAAATCCAACAACACTCGTTTTTCAAGTTCTAATTAATAATCCAGTCGGTTTTGTATAACTCCAAACATCAAAAACGGTATAACTTT